GAGTCCAAGATGCCACGTTCCTTTTGCACCAGAGCAAGATTTGGATTCCATATAATGTGTATCAAAATAAAAGAACATGCTGTCTGACGGACATGAAATTACCTCAATGCAGGCTAGGAGGATTCTCAAAGCCATTTCGTGGCAATATTTCCCTCTCAAAGGGTATGATCCATATCTGTTACCACCATCAGTTATAAGATGATCTGACATATTCAAAACCATAGTTAATATGAAGGTAAAGGCAGTACAATCTTACTTGGAATAGCAAACCTCCCCATTACCCCCACACAAAACTGCCAAATCGGTTGCAGTACACATCAGCATGCCTCCATCAACAACAGATTGAACTGCAGAGTCCAGGAACACAGAAGGTGAACCATAAGGATCAAGATCAACCTGAAACACAAATTTAGCAATAAAAAACATAAGCACGGCTGCCTCTTGAATATTGTGATCCAGAAACAATAAAAGTTGCCCCATTAATTCTGAAATGGGGATAACAAATAACAGAAAACAACTATAAATTCCCAATTGATTAATACACTTTTCTTTTACTAAGTATAATGTAGATTTAACATAAAATAAATGCATAATAAGAACTATTGCCATAGAAGATGAAAATTTTCTACAAAGTTTGATTTAAAATATTAACTAGCAATGCACATCAGATCAAGTTCTTTTGCAGCAGTTACGAATACGTGCATATCAAAATTTCATGTCAAGTTGTTAAATTAAATATAAAATAGCAGATGCCTACCACGTCAAATTCTTTTGGGTGGGTAAGCATGTATACACGAGCATCAGCAAGATGTGACTCCACTTTTGAACATGCTACAGAACCATTGAACTTTATGTTTCTCTGGCAAGCTTCAACTGCCCCTGCACATAGACATGAGGTATTGGTAAATATAAGCAGCAAGTCAACGATATAGGTAAAATCAATTTGTTTATAGAATGAATATCTACAGGAACCAGAAAGCCAGAGAGGAAGAAACTACAGGTCTTCCCTTGTTCCAAAATGATCCCTCAAATAACACATATTTAACATCCAGAACATCTATACATCTACCATACCTTTGTCATTGTCTAAGGCAACAACTTGACCAATCCCTTCTACTTCCCGAGCATATCTCAGAGCCCTTAACCCAGATGCTGACAAGGCCTATAAAATTACCAGAAAAGGAACTCAGAAAATGACATGACTAGCACTCAGGGTATAAATGATATCTGAAAAATAGAAGACTGCAGAAAACCTCAAGAACTCTTGGTGGTTTGAGCTCCCATCGAACTTTTCCCTCCGTCTTAACTTGTTCTTCTGAGGTAGAACATGGTTCTTCTTGAGATTTCTCTTCAGGCCCTTCACATTCTTCATTCGATTTTTCATTATTCATATCAGACTCATTATGTTTATCTTCTACATCAGATATAAAACCTCTCTTCTCAGGCACCTTTGGTGCTGGTTTGTTTCTTTTAGACAACAATGCCTCATGTTCCTGCTTTCGTCTTGATATGAATGTCCTCAGGACAGCAATGGACATGTCTCTGTTGTTAACCTGATTATCATAGCAAACAATTAGGATCCTCTACTAGTGAATAACAACCAAGAAAACAACTAACACTACAATTACGCTGCAGAGAAAGCAACATCCTACTCAAAGCATCTACAAATAGAGTATACAGGTTTTCAGTGAATGCAATACAAAGAGAAAATTTTCACTTCCTTTCATTTCCCATTCTTTCTTAGCAGCCAATCACCGGACGATTATTTCCAATTACTGACCAAAATGTTAAAATTTTTCAGACATAGCTTAACTTAGAAGAACCCCCCCCCCCCCCCCCCCCCCCAAAACAAGCAGGGTCTTTCCAATAAATCATCAAAAATATTAAACTTCTTAATCAAACCAAAAGCTTCCAATTAACTAAAGCTAAAACATTAAAAAAAAAACAAAAAACTAACCACAAAAACCATTAATTCAATCACAATTTTTATCGCCCCTAAGTTCAACCAATTAAGCAAAATTTCCCATTTTTCATACGAAATCAATAATTAGTTTCTCTTAAAACACCCAACTCATTACAAGAAACAGAACTTTTCAATAAACTAAAAGCTATCTATCAAATAAAACTGAAAACCCATCAAATTTCTGACAATGAATTCAACCAAAAAAAAAAAGCAAACTTGGAACCTGGGTTTTGTTGTAAAAGACTTCATTTTTAGAATGCATAAGAATCTCAGCTTCTCCTTCCTTGATGATAGTGTAATCATTGAGATCCATTGACATTGTTTCTCCTTTTTCATGCCATAACAAATTCTGGGTTCCTTTTATATTTCCCTTCTCTTATTGGTTTTGCCTTTATTTGAAGAGAAGATTTGAACAGGAGATAATTTTTTTTCTATGTTTGGTAACTTTTGTTGGTGTTTGCAATCTGTTTTGATGTTTAAGATTTGTGAAAGCAGCAAATAAATGAAAACTAGGGATCCTGATTATATACTGTATGCTTTGAATATACAGTGGAAACCCTATTTTTATTTTATTTATCCTTTTGTTTTAAATTTTAATCAATCTGGTGAGTTTTTGCCCTTTTTTAAGGCTTTTCTTAAACCCTAGTTTCTTAGTGCACGTTAGAATTCCTTTATAGTTTCCTGCTAACGTGAGCCATGTAATCTTTTTAATAAAACAAAAATTATGCTTTTGCTGCCTCATCTCTAACTAGTTTTTTTTTTTTTTTTTTAATTGAAAACAAAGAAATATATTTATTTTATCATTTAAACAAACCATTTTAAAAAAAAAGGGTTGAAAAATGTATCATGGGAGCTGATTTACATAGAAACATATTAGTGATGGGCAATTCATGAATAAAACTTATTTGATTGTCAATTATCCATAATTTCAAAATATTTCTTAAAAAAATTAAATTCAAATTTAGTTAACTTATCTTTGACTGAACTTTTTTTTACATCTTCTTCTAAAAAAAAAATTCCACTTTCATGTAACCTATTTAGCTATGTCAAAAAGTGAGAATTTTTCTTCTAATCAAAGGTTTTGTAGATCAAGGGAGTGTGGATCATGCCCTTGACTTATGTGACAATTGCAGGCTACACTGCTAGAATTTACAGCCCTTTTGAGCATAGATTCTCACGCCTATACAATCTGTGCATAATGACATTAACAGAAGTACATATACAACCCTTTTCTCAAACAATCAAAATTCATGCTTTCCAATTTCTTCAAAACTGACCAATATTGGTGAAACAGGTCAGATATGACTAAGGGGGACATATCATTTAGCATCATCAAACATGAGAGCATTAATATTGTTAATCCCAAGATCATCAGATATAGGCTCAATTGGTTACTCAACTCCCTGCATATGAGACAAAAAGCTTGAAGATTCACTGCTAAATTCATCTACAAAAACAAACTAACACCACAGCATGTATAAATTCCACTTATGCATTTATCTTTAAAAGAAAACAGTCAACAAGTATAAACTTCAAATCACAACATTTGCAACTACTTCTTTTATTTTCAAATTACAACTTTTATATACTAGAAAAATTTCTACTCATGCAATGGCAATGCAAAGAAAACCAAATCTAAAACATGTCAAAATGGATTTAATCAGCAATCTTATAAATATTTCTAGTCCTGATGAAAATCCATGAACACGTCAATAGAAAAGCATGTTAAAACTTACCAAACATTGTAGTTAATGAAGTTGGAGGGGGGTTGGAGATGAAGTTGAGGCCAATATAAAATCTGATACCATAGAATAAGTTGCCAAAGCTCAATATCTGAAAGTCTAACAAAGGAACAAGTACTGATGGAAATTTTGGCACAAAAAATTCGAATCACTGACTTTTTATGTCAACAGAGATTACATATTTTAAAGATTATCAGTGAACAAATCGGCAAAATGAGATTCTTTCCAACTTAGCAATACTTTCACATTAAGTGTTTCAAGGACTTTCCTCCATGCGCAGAGCTCCCAGCAGAAGTTATATCATTTTGACTCATTTGTAGAAATTAAAACACACTAGGTGGAGCCAGTCATTCCTTGGGTGAGTTTTTGGCTCAAAGGCACTTTACATGCATTACCAAGGCATGGGATTTCATGAGGCCCAGAGTTCCCTGGCCCCAAGGACTTGCCCTATTCAAAGCTGGGATAAGAGAATTGCAGGATTGGTGCTGATGAATTCTCAGCAGCCTATATTATCTTTAAATTTAGCAGAAAGAATAATTCAGAGTATACTTCAGCTTCTTTTAACTTGCTCTAAGGGTGTGATCGCCTGCCTAAATTTCCACACCTGCCTTATTCCCTTTTTTTGCTTAATGTCAGTTGATCAAAGATCTGATATAGCTTCCTCCAATCTACCCTTTTGTTTTCATTACCATAATAAGATGCTAAGATCCAAACTTCGACAGACTCCAATCATCCCTCAAACACTAAACTGCCAAATATGTAGAAAAGCTACTGTCAAACTAAAATCCTGCATCAAGCAGACCACTTTGTACCATATCATTTTATCTATTTTTTGAAGGGAAATAAAAATTATTAGTAAGAGATATGTAAAAATAAAGTCATTTTATTTTCAAGTGAAATAGACTTTTTCATTGGATTTTTTTTTTTTTTTTTTGGTTCTATCTTTTTTTTTTTAATTATTCACAAAAATAAATATTTTATTTATTTATTACTTTTGTATTATTTTTAAGTAGTCAGATCGTTCGATTGACATTTAGAATAATATATTACTTTTAATATATTTTAATTTTCTAATAACTCTACAAAATTTTTGTTTTTTTGAAACACTAATGACAATTTATTGATTCCTGGAATCAAAATGCTTTTATAAACTAGCTTTTTATCGTTTTTAGAATGATTATTTTTGAAAAAAAATTATTAATTTTTTAGGGGAAAAAGTTTGTGTGGCCAAGTTAGAGGTTAGTACTTAGAATCTTCTACAAGCAACAATCCAACATCTTTGGTATCTTTGATTAATTAAGTATTTAGCAAACAAAAGTTTGCAAATTACAAAATTCATGTAGACAGGAAAATTTGTCTTTTCTTTTGGACCAACACTAAATTATTTAAATATAATTTCACATACCATATAGAGATTACCTAATCTATGTGACCTATACCCTTTAACAAGTCCATGCAGATACTGCGTATAGTGGTCTATCATGCCAACAGATCATCAAACTTGCCTTTTCATTGACAATTTTGTAACCATCTCTACCATAGGCTTCCACCATTTGCTTGGCATCTTCCATGGAATCATACCAAATTCTAACAGGCTTGAACCCAGCTTGCCCAAATCTAACCATCCATCTCCCATACCTCTCATGCCTCTCTTGTCGCTCAAGCCCCTCACATGCCACAATATTTTCGATTTCTTTCCCAAACATTTCTTCCAACACATGTCTTTCTCCACTTGACATTGCCCCAAGTGTAGCATCAATGGAATCAAACACAGCACTGTAGTAATGCAATCCCTCTACGAATCGATCCACTAATCTGTTTAAATTATGATCGGCTTCTTTTTCGACTAGGAGCAAAAGTTTGGGTGATACTGACCGAATCATCGATAAAAACATGAACATTTGCTTGGAATCTTTTATGCCATTGATCTTGTTGTGGCCGAAATGTGCATCTACTCTATCATCCTCTGCTAATAGGGTATGGAGGCTTAAGATTGATATGCAAGCCAGTGCTTCTCCTGATCTGATCTTCAGCATATCTAACGTTAGCTCTCTCAAACTAACATTTAGAGGGTTAAATTGAAAAGGCATGCCTAGTGCTTCTGCCTCTTTTACAAGCATCGGGCCTAGCTTCTCTAGAACAGTCTTGTTGGCATTCAGACAGGTGACCTTCAAATGGGGAGGTCCACCCGGCGAGCACGAAAAGCTCCGAAGGAGGGGGATCCACAGGTTTCCATCGCCGGAGCCTAAGTCCACAAGATGGATCACTCTCTCCCCCATCATGGCCTTTACCAATGTTCGGGCTATGATGGCATAAGAGAACCCAAGGTAGGGAAAGGCTCGTCCGAAGAGGGGCTTAGCTTGATCTAACTCTTGTTTTGGCAATTGAGTGTAGCTCAACGCCTTATGTAGGCCAGGCCAACGCTTGACAAGGCGGATGGCAAGGGCAGACGCAAACCGTGCTGAAAGGCGTTGCATGGAGTCACCAGACACCGAGGCAAGCAGCGATATTTGTCGGAGACACTCATCGGCACGATGTAGGTTACCGGAGGAGGTATGCTTGGCACATGTTAGGAGCAGTTGGATAAGACGGATCCCTCTTTCTTCGGGCTTTAAGGCCTCAAGTGGAGTTGGACCAGGTGACAATGTAAGGGACAAGGTCACCTCGGGCTTTCGAGATGGGAAAGAAGTGCTCATCTCGGCCTATGACAAAAGTTTCTGATTTTTGCTGGAGTTAATGTAAGTTTATGATGAAGATGCTATCAGACTTATAAGAGAATCATCTTTGAGGAGCAGGTGAGAATGACGGCTAGTTCTATTGATCCATATAAAAGATACAAGTAAAGGAAATGTTTTTGAGCATTGTCTTTCATGAAATATTTGATTATTTGTAGTTAAACTAAAGGAAATTGGATTCAAATAAGTTGACTCACTCCTATCAAAGCAGTAGAGACCCAATTTTTTTTTTTACTTAATTTATTAAAATTTAAATTTGAATCATTAAAATTAAAAATATAATATTTTATCAATAAATTATATGATTATTTATAACATAAATTAAAGTTATTAACGGGAAAAACTTTATTACTATAACCATTTTTTCATACATAATGTCAACATCATCTCGCGCATTAATTTGAAAAATAAGACTAATTAAATGTTGCTTATTTTTATTTTAAAATCTAATTAACCATCAAAGTTGGTGAACAAAGAGAATTTGTTTTTTAGCTTTTGGCTTTAAGCTTCCATACTAATGAACAAGGTTCTTATTTGTCGGTACTCGAATTAAAATTAACGAAATGCAAATGGATTACACGAAAAATGCAATGAATAAGCTAGGTTTTGCACCCACCATTGATTAGATTTTTCATAAATTTTGGAATTTACCACTATGGCTTTGTGACTTCAAAACAAAGAATCAAGGACAAATCAATTTTTACTTGGTCAATTAATATTTTGAACTGTTAATTAATAAATAGTATTTCTTGTTAACTTTTTTTAGCCATTTAACTTCACTAACTCACATTTGCTATATAAAAGATTGACAAGTTGGCTTTCCCACACCAAGCTTTGGTCTATCAGCTGGCTTCCCACCAGAACATGAAGAAGACAGCCTTGCCAATGGGTCTCCATTAACCTTTAACCATTTGAAGTGCCCTCCACCTCACTTCTACAAATTCTAATAAACTAAATTCTAAAACGCAACGTTTGGTATTATTTTAAAAATTAATCATGATAATTTAATTATACAGATGATTTTATTATTATAGTGATTTTATCATTTGTGATTTTGAATCATCTTATTTGATTAACAAATATTAATTTTTAAAAATTAAAAAATATTGTCTTTGATATTATTAAAAATTAAAAATTATTTTATTTAAAACTTAAAAAAATAACCATATTGTAATAATTATATAAATTAATAGTTTCAATATTGTTTAAAGATGATAATTTGTAAAATATTAGTAATGTTTTATTTACTTAAAAATAAGGTGAAACTAATTATTAAGTTAAAAAAATATATTTACTAATAAATAAACTAACTTTTATATATAAATTTCTTAAAAATTGAATCTTAAAAAATAAAACTAAATCTATTAAAATTAAAAAAAAGGAATATAAAAATTATATTATATGTAATATTAAAAAATGTTAATAGGAACTACGTAATTTATTTTTAAATTCAGTACAATTAATATTATTTTTAAAAGGTAAAAAAAAATATAAAGTAATTATAATTTTAGAGAAATTAAGTAAGTTTTTTAATTCATTCATTAAATGGGTAATATTAACTACTATTAATTTTACATATCAAAAATTTTTAATTTTTTATATCACTCTCTAAGACAGAGATCTAATCATTTTTTATAATTTAAAATCATCATAATGTATGATCACTAAATTGTCACCAAATGAGATAATCTAGTTATGGTGTATAAATCATCACCAACTATTGACCCGTGCTTTGCATAGGATTTTCATCTTTTCATAATAATAATTCAACTAATTAAATTTTTATGATCATTTTGTGTTTAAGTAAAAATGTTTTGTTGTCAAACATAAATGATTATCGATGTTTCAATAAATGACATTTTAACTTTTTAAAGCTTAACTATAAGAAAAAAAAAAAAAAAACTTCTTACACTCTGAAAGGAAAAATAATAGCAATAATAGAAAATTTAAATTAACAAAAACAAATCAATAATAAGAAGCTATGAGTTAAATTTGAAAATTTTAAAAAATATGTCGGTATTGAACATGTAAATATGTCAATTTTACCTACACCTATTAGGGAGTTCGATTTTTTTATCTGAATAAAAATGGAGATAGGTATTATATCGTGGATATGAAGATGTGATAAAATGATTTTAAATTTTTATTAGGTACGGGAATAGGGATGAGTAATATATTACTCATCTCGTACTTGTACTCTCATATATATTTTTATATATTTAGTATATATATTTTTTATTAAATAATATAAATTATTATTTTAAATTAATTAAAATTAATATATTTTTATTGAAAATATATGTTAATATATATTTATAAAAAATTACTTAAATATACGAGATAAAAATAAAAAAACTAAAAAAATTAGTTTTTAATTTTTTTTTTCAAAAGTTATAGATATGAGAATTACTCATACATATTAAATACTTGTGGGAATGGGGATAGAAATAAATTTTAAATACTCATTAAGTATGGGTACAGGTATATGTATAATATAAAAAAAATTTGGGAATGAGGAAAGAAAATACTCTACCCTGCTTATACCTTACCTATTGATATCCTTATGAATATAAAATTAAAAAAAAAAAACAATTTCAATGTTATCACTTAAATTAAGGTAAAAATATTCTATGTCATCAAAGTTGTCTTAAACCATCTTACTCTAATCATTATTTCAAAACAATAAAAAATAAATAATCTCAATCTCAACGACATAAAATCTCGTTTCTTTTAAAATATAATACCTAAATTCAATTTCTAAAATAATTAGTAAATTGTTTTTTTTACTATAAAAAAGTAGAGATATGAAATTATATAAAAGAACAAAAAAATAGTGGAAAACTTTTAACATTAAGATTACAATAGAGTGAGAGTTTTACCTTTTCACCATTCATTTACCACCATTATTAAAATTGTACACATACAAAATTATTAAATAGAAAGAAAAAGAAAAGAATAGATTTTATACTTTTTTTCTTAAAAAAAAAAAAAGAAAAAGTAGAAAAATAGAATGGTAGGCAAAAACTACAAACTTTCAATATTTATAAATAGTTAGGAGACAAATTAATTAATAACTTAAATATAGACATTTAGTGTCTGTTGATATAAAAAGAAAAGAAATATTTTTAATTTATTTAGTTCAATTTTTGTTTTGAATTTTGAAATATAATTAATGATATAGAAGCTATCGAAATATAAAAAGTATATTTGGCATATATATATATATATATATATATATATAGACAAGTGTATTATTCATATAAGAGAATTTCTTTTTTTATTGGAGATTTTGTTATATATATATTTTTATTAAATTAGCATGATTTTTCCCATCAAATTAGAATATTTTAGGTTAATTTAATTTATGACTATTTAATATTTTAAAAAAAACAAAAAATGTCATAAGTAAAATTATCAAGAAAATTAAAATAATTAATTCAGTGAAATTTAGTTAAAGAAATTAATTTAGGAAACACATGGTATTAATTTAAATTATCCACGTGTCAAAAATGAGACCATATATTTATAGGACAATTCCATTTTTTATTAAAAATTTTAATTTTTATATATTTATATAAAACTATTTTGGATAATTATAATATACCAAACACCACGTAAGAGAGAGAAGAAACGATCATCAACTAACACTTCCATCAACTTAGTATAAGATTTATTAATATCATATTTTAAAATTAATTGTGTAAATCATTTGAATTAAAATTTGAATTATTTTATACATTTTTTTTCTAACTCTATACTTTTTCCATGTAAAAAGATGGGGTTGAAATTAACTTTTCATCTCTATACTCTCCAATAAAAACAAATGCTAGCAAAATTGAAATGCAAAGGACCTGTCGTAATTAGTTGATGTACATGCCGCCTGCCATCACCATTTCTCATCGTCTCTTTGCATAAAGTTAAGTTGGAAGATCACAATCATGGAAGTAAGGCCAGGCATTAGTGGCCAAAGTTATCGTCACAACCGTGCAATGGTGGGGCGCTGGTGTACCAATTTATTGGTCCCATCGTTGATCCAATTCAAGGTTAACCTTAAAGCATGGAAATTAATGCATTGTATACGTAATAAGACAAATGGATAGTGTTGAGAAAAACAAAAAATTTGGTCAACCTTTCTATTTAGGAATGCAGCTAATGACTAAAAACAACCAAGTTTAATTGTGTCAAGGTGGACAATCCAAAGGGATTGAAGCTACGAACTAAATCGTTCTTTTGAAGATCCTAAGTAGATTTATTCATGGTTTGGACAGCTCATCAAACAAAAAATTTAATTTGATTTGAGTCAAATTTAAAATAATATTTTTAAAAACTTTAATTTAATTCGTGAAATATTTAATTATTATGTCATTAGTTTTAATTTAATTTTAATTTAAAATATATTAAATAATAAAAAATTAATGTAAAAATATTTTTAGTATATTTAATAATAAATTTAATTTTAAGAATACTCTACAATGCATGTAAATAGTTTTCGTTTGTTATAATATTTAATTTTATTTATTCATTTCTTAAGTTTACAATCATATAGTTAAAGAAATTCATAATAAATACTAAATTATATACGATTGTGTATATCTAGTATTACCAAAATATTCAAACATTGCATTAAAAAATATTCATTTAACTTATAAAATAGGAAAATCTCAAAAAAAAAAAAAAAGAAGTAAGAGTCTCCTTAGGGTTTGGCTCTATAGAAGGAGTTCAATTTCGGCTGAGTTTTGAGTTTCTTAGGTTTTTCGAGTATTTCATCACGGTAAACCCTGAGAATGGATCGATCGTTTCAAATAATTAGAGTTTTATTAATAGTTTTTGCAGATCGGATTACTATATGTGGTGCGATTGCGGAGGATCTGGAAGAAGTCTAGAATAGCCTGAAGCTTATGGAGGACGAGAACAATCGAGTTGAAATAAGAACTAAATGTGATACTATGACTGTGGAAGAAGGGGAAAAATGGTTAGTGAGCAAACTATTAACAGATCCCCCTTTTAATAAAGAAGCCATGATCGGTACTTTCAAACTCATCTGGAGAATCACCAAA